CTTGTTGAACTTCATGAGGTTCGCACAGGGCCACCTCTCGAGCCTGTGCAGGTCCCTCTGGATGGCATCCCTTCCCTCCAGCGTGTCGACCACACCACACAGCTTGGTGTTGTCAGCAAACTTGCCGAGGGTGCGCTCCATCCCACTGTCCATGTCACCAACAAAGATGTTCAACAGTGCCGGTCCCAGTAGTGACCCCTGAGGAACGCCACTCATCACCAGTCTCCACTTGGATGTCAAGCTTAACATGTTCTGACATCCGTTGGTTTCCTGTCATTGTGTGTAACATGGATGAATACAGTCTGAACATCATTAAATGTGAGTAATTTGACATATTTAATCTTAAATTTTTAAAAGAAACTTCAATAACCCCAGGATATGTTTTGCTGTGTCCATACTTATTGGTAGCTCACTGAATGGAGTCTCCTTGGGGAAGGGGAGAAAGGAGAGCAGGGTCCGTTTCGATATTGTTGCCTGTCACAGTACCAGATAAACTGTTGCCATGTCTCCATGCTAAAGCATAGAAGAAAACCCAGTGTTTCATGGCTGCATGCAATTTTTATAACTGATTTAAAAATGTATTTGCCGCCAAATTTCATGACAGGACTCACATTTTGTATCCTGTGTTGGGTTTTGCGTAGTAGAATATATTCTTTGGGTCCTACGCTACATCCTCAAGCGCCAAATTCTGAGTATTTTCTTGTTTATTCTTTCTTTAAGCCTAATTTCATCTCACACTGCATAGCTCATCACATATATATGGAACAAACCCAAGAATTTATTACAGGGTGCTTTCGGAGTGTACAAGGCAACTAGTCCCTGCTTTCGCTAAGGGCTAGATTAGAGGTTTTCTCTACTAAGCTGCTAACTCCAGCAAGCGTATGAGAAGCAGTTGCTTCCAGCAGTACCTTCAAAACATTCCCTAATAATTAAACGATGATTAAGCAGACAGTCCCTGGTTATCAGCTCCAGAGCCACCTGAGATGGTTTGCTGTACAAGGCTGTAGCATTTCAATGAATCCACTAGTTACTCAGAGTGTTCAGTAGCTGTATTTTTTTTTCCAGTTCATAATACAGAAAGAAGTTCTCAAGGACATGCAGCATTTAGTGAATACATCTATATACAGTCAGCCAGAATTGAGATAAAAATAATACAGCGATCAAAGTAATTATTCTGGCCTGCCAGATACATTGAACAGACTAAAGATGTTTTCTTCTTTTTTTCTTCTTTTTTTTTAAAGAAAAGATTAAGACTTTATTCAAGATGTATATCAAGCAGTATAACAAAACCAGCAAAACATCAGCCTTTGGAATACTGTTGTAATGGCCATCCTCGTGAGGCGTTAAGTGTACCATTTCATCACAGATCTTTTCTACCGATCACAGGAAAGAAATCACACGAAGTGCACAATTAAGATCCTTAAATACTTTGTCTAAACGCAAATCCCAACGTAGTGTTCTCTGCTATTTCAAACAGGGTGCTAGATGCAGAACGAGTACCCGAAACAAACAGCAAAAAGGAGACTGTGATTAACGAGCATTCGGTCACAAGTACAAGGGTTTCATCACTACATGAGAACACTTCAGAGAGCAGTCAGAGGCAGCAGGTTGTTTACATGAGGCTAAGGAGCATCGTATCTCTCCGAGCAGCTTTCTCCCTCTTAATGGGAATAAATAACCCGATTCTCCTTTCCTTCTGTGCTGAGTTTGCACTTACACAATTTAGATTAGCGTGGGATTAATTCCAAGGTGACAGTGATACACATGAAGTCTGTCTTGTCTGTATTTGATGGGATCCTGCTTCAGCAATTGGCGACCGCTGTAACTGCGCTGACGCCAGCCCCTACAACAAGAGAGGAGGCATGGAGGGCTGCACTGAGCTGCCGTAAGCTTCTTTTTCTCATAATTGAGGTGAGTTTATGGTAAATTGGAGGCATAATTCACAGGCTCATTTACCATCGACCAGCTGCAGTTTCCTTCCCCTCCGCCTCCATTTTACTTGCTCAAAATCATGCAAGTTGCACTTGAGCCTTGTGCTGGGTAAGGGCTGTATTTTCTAGGGCTGGCCTGTTCCTTTCAGGGTTACGCTCTCCAGGCCATCTCCGAGAAGCCAGAAGGTGCCTGCCTGCCCTTCAGGACTGATCGTAGAGGCCAGCTGCCTGAAAGGCCCCAAAACCAGGCTTTTCTTACTTAAGCCAGATCTGCTGCTATTTTAAACCACCCGCTGAAAGATTGCTTGCTTTTAGGAGGAGTAATCTGCAAGCAGTTAGCTGGCTTGCACCCTCAGAGCCGGAGCTGGGAGGAAGCTGAGCATTGCTCCCTATCGACACCCATCAAAGAAGCCACCATCCATGGTGTCCTCTCTTTGCTCGAGTCCTGCAAACTCTGGTTTGCCAGGGGGGGTCAGCATCAGCGCAGGAAGGCGACTCGCTGAATCGGGCTGGCTCCTGGCAGAGGCTCAAGAGAAAAACTGGAACAAAAGATTTCTCATATCTGGTGTTTATTCTAAAGGAAGGCAAATAGCTGAAGAGTGAAATGACAGACTTGGGGCAACACCTGTAAACAACCTGTGTGTGGAAGATGAGGAATCAAAAGCAAATGACCGTTCTCTTCTGTATACAGAACACTACAGCACTAACTAAGTGTACGTGGTTAGGCATTCACATTTCTTGTCTATCTATACACAAATATACAGCTCAGTTGATAAATTAATACATTTTTGCCAGAGATATGAAAAGGTTTATTTTTCTCATTTATACAGTGAATGTTTTGAGAGATATAAGGCAACTCCCTTGTCAACAATTTCACCTCAGCACTTAAGAAATGCTAAACAGTCAAGTTTACAGTAAAACAGCAGATTAGACGCACGTTTAATAACTTTAGTAAGAATCAATGTTAATACAGCGTGACTGAGAATAGAATCTGTCAGATGTTATGTAGCTCTATGTTGTTGGGGTTTTTTTGGCATAATTGAGTGCAAAGTTGTCAGCTTTTTTATCTTATGGCAGCCCATTGCATAGCAGGGAAACATAGCTTGCTTGCAACAGGATTGTATTTTCTGCTAACATTGCAGGCAGTTTTTCTATTTCTTTTTAATGTTTGCCAAAAGAAATCAAATATACTCTAAAGCTGCTTAAAAATAAAACACATAAGCTTAGCTCCTCAAAGCTTTTGCTGAGTATCTTCCAAGGACTGACTCTTCTATAACTGCTATTTAGAAAAGTTTGTTGTTTTTTTTATTTACTTTCTGAAGATTTTTTTTCTTCTTACCTATTGCAGAATATGATTGAATTAGCACAGGTAAAGGAAATAAAATTCTCAGGTAACGAGGCCAAATACCGTGGCAGACACAGGAAATACCTGCTTGCTTTTTCCACTTCCTAGCCAGGTCAGATAAATATTTGTGCATGCACATCATTTATTTCTCTCTTCCCCACATATGTCAGAAGCTCTGGGGGAAACCACAGGGATCCATCAGACAGGGACAGCTGGGATATCGATGCAGACCTGGCAGAGAAAAGGTTTCAAAGGCCACTTCAGATTTATCTCTGAGCCTGATACACTCCAGCCGGCTGTTGGCATCCTGGACTGCTGCACCTGAACTAGATTAACAGTACTGTTCATCATCAAGCCCGGTTACTGATCCATTAGTGATGGCATGTTCTGCGTAATGCTAAATGTTTTTCTAATCTATGTGACAGGTCCAAGAGCAAACACAAAGGGCCACGTAATTAACTTATGTGTGAATCTCACATGCTCAACACTTACAAGAGACACCAACATGAAGCACAAAAACACAAACCCTACCACATCTTCCTCTTCTTTTGTATTTCTCATTTATATAGGGATACAAATACACCACTCCATCTGGTTCTTGTGATTCTAACCAAACTCCATGCTACAGGCGAAACTCCAGGCTTCAAAAAGCCGCTCAGACCCAGCGCCCTGCTCTGCTCGTGCAAGTAAAACAGCAGCACCTCACCAGGAAAGCAGAGTGCTGGGACTGACACTGTTCCAGGCAGGGGAGAAAGGTGAGTTTTCCCCTGGAAGTGCATCACTAAAGCAATTCTAACTTCTGTTGCTGCAGATAGTACAAGCCTGGCTTGCTCGCATGTTAAAACTGGCAGTAGAACATTTGCCACAAGTGATACGATCTAGTTCTTCTAGCAGCCATCATTTTCCACACAATACTCTCCTGGCTCAGGCTGATTGAAATTAAGACTCCTCCTTCATTACATTGTTGACACCATTTACTTTCTCTTGCCCGTCTCTTCCTCATCCTCTGTAAGTGGTTCTGTCTCGATGGTTTTCAGCACAATGATTTTCTCAGAACATGTGATTTACTTGCAGAAAGAGAAATGGAGTTGCAGCTCAGCTTTTGCTAATGAAACTTGGGACATTTTGTACAGTCAAAGTACTTTGACATTTGTTACATCATTCACAGTCTTGAGGAGGAAGGGAGGAAAGAGAAATCCATGGGTTCTGCAAATCCACTTCATTAATGATAAAGCCATAAATAAATACACTGTCAATGTATCATCATGAGTAACTGATTATTTTTGTTTCCGCTGTGCATTCACAGAGCTAGAGCTATGCAGACACAAATGAGAATTGTAAATGTACAGCCTTACAGGATTAGCGTGAGTGGGTGCACATTCTGCAAATGAAAAAAGGACTCTTAACCTGCAGGTGTCTGTCAGACTGTCCTACCCACGTCACGGACAAACGCGAGAAGCGTGTAACAGAAGGATACAGAGAGAGGAGGGAGAAAGGCCGTGTCTACAATGCCGTACATCAAAGCACATCCATCCCACTGCTGTTTCCTACATTGTTAACGAGTAGCTCTTTAAGGCAGAAGAGAGACATTCTGTGGATCTTGGTGCTATTGGCTCATTGCACTCACATTGTTTCAGTGGCAGAGGACGAGGTACTTTTCTTCCTGAAGCGAGGTCTAAGGTTCCTAGGCGGTGCCTGCAGAAAAGCAAGGGAAAACTTAAGTGGCGCAATAGGAAACATTTTTTCTTTCCTTAGAACTCACCCATCTTTGTGGCACCTCTGCGGCAATGATCCCACTCCAGGCAGGACGTAATGGAGAAGCAGATCTTGGCCCTGAAGCTCATTAATGAATGACCAGCTGAGGAGTAATCCCTTTAAGAAGCCTGTTGTAGTCCTCTTCCCAAGTTACACCAACCCCTTCCCCTCTGGCACTTGGTTAGAAGTGTGGCTAAAGATTGCTAAAATAACATAACGGTCGAAGGAGCTAGGGCAAATTGGTGCCATTTACAGCAGCTCGGGGATCAAGAGAGCAAACTGGTGGCCGAAAGCCAGCTCTGGTGTCTCTCAGCCCATCCTGCACTGTCCAGCCCAGCCCCAGCCCCTCTGAGGGTACAGCTCATTGGCACATTAGAAAGCTGAAAGGGTCCCTAAGGTAAAACACACTGAGCTTGTAATTCTCTTTAACAAGGCAGAACTCTTTGAAAAGATCAGCCTCTTGCTCGGCAGACGGGCCAGACACAACACAGAGAAATTCTTTTAGAAGCCAACTATTGCAATTCTGATGCAGAGAGCTTTAAAATGGAGCCCTGAACACCCAGGAGGAGCCAGACCAACTCCATGAAATTAATTTACTGTGATTAACCCCATTCTCCAGACTGAGACAGAAACTAGTGAGACTAGCAAACAAACAAACAAAGAAAAACCCCAACCCCTAATCTGCAGTGCATACTTCTCTCACAAGAACTTTGGCATAGCATTGTGTCTTGTGAGCTTCACAAAAAGAAATGGTTACCAGATGTTGCGGACGAGCACAATTCTCAGTATGGAGGCCTGTCATAGCATCATGTAACACTGCAAGGGCTGGTCACCTCTTCTATGCCTTGTTTTCTTTGACAACATCAACCTATTTACCTGTAAGACTCTGATAGGCTCTTACCATTCATAAGTGAGGACTTTGTCGTTTCTATTTTATAGGACTTTCAAACCCAAGACCATGCTGTGTTTCCACATTCCTGTGATGCAGCAAGGTATAGATATTCATAGAGATAAGGAACTGCAGCATGGTGAGATTTTGTTTAGACTTCATCTAAATCTCCATCTCCTCTAGCTTACCCATAAACCAAAGTAGTTTCTCGCAGAAATAGGATTAATCCAACACCTCACGCCATCTTCTAAGCCTGAAATCTTACCCAAAGTCCCCTCTGTGAATCCCCAAAAGCACAACAGACTTGGATGGGATGGCTGCACCCAGAAAGGCACAGCTGGAGGAGAAGAGCTGAGGAAGCAAGCTGCTCTGCATGGCAGTCAGGGATCCCACACCACACCAGACTCCATAGCTGCTGGCTCAGAGTCGCTGTCTGTAAACCAGGAGCCCTGGGACACAGCCAGGTAACTAGAGCAGCACCTCCTGCAGCTTGGGAGAGGGCTCCTCTTTGGGAAGCCAGACAACTCTTAAAGCAAAACAGCCATTAACTGCACAGTAGAGACTCTTAAATCAGGAATGAATAGCTCTGCCTCCTTTGGGAGGCCACTAGACAGCTCTGAGAGAAGCTAGAGAGGCTGCATCTTTCCATGGTACAAACACAGCAGCCCAGTTTTTGGTGCGAGCCCTCAGAGGTAGGACGACCCACCAGAAGGACATACAATTGCTAACCAAACCACATTGCTCCCTCAGGCTGAGTCGAGGGTGGAACAAACCCAGCTTCCCCATGGTGGAGATCTGGCTCGGATCTGAGAGCTGCTGGCTGTGGCTCCATCTCCCCTGCCCAGATCTGGAAGGAGTCTTTGCCTACAGCATCTCCCACGGAGGTTTTATTTCCTCCACAACGAAATGTGGCTAAAGTTGCTTTTGGCAAACCACAGTGCAAGATCTGCATCTCCTTTAGTTCTTTTGTTTCCATGAAGCAACTTAAAGCATACTTGTTAATACAGTGCCCGATTCAAAAACGTACCGAAGTCATGAAGGAAGAACTGCCGCTGGTTTCGATGGGGTTTGGCTAGGTGTGAACTCAAGCAAAAAGGACTGGGCTCTGAACTGAGTGTGCTCTGGCTGTGGGTGCTGGCTGTTCTCACCGTAATTATCCTGCCTTGGGGGTGAGAATATATCTTCCTCTACAGACATGAAAAATCAACTAGCAGTTGATATCCAAATCCTCTCACCCAAATAGCTCCACATTAGCACGTCGTTTAGAGCTAGATCCAAGCTTTGCAATTCAGATCCAACTCTGAAGCCCTGTGTAACTATTATCTCCATAGGCACGAATTTAGACTTCTTTCAGGAAACCCACTCATGCAGAAACGTGAGCGAACCCATAGCAAGACCCACCCTTGAAAGATCACAAATTTATTGTTTAGACTCTGTTTTTAGACCAAAGAGAGATGTTCGTTCAGTTGAAGATTCAAGGAATGTCATAGAAGGAGGAGCCTTGACAATATGGAAGTACCTCAAGTGGTTGATCCTTCTTTTTGGGCCTTTTGTTCATGGATGCACAATCCAATGAATCGTTCTCTTCATCATCTGAGAACACAGAGCCTTTTGTTTCACAGTTTGCCTCAAGTGGCTTTTCATACTTATTGTCCACACCTATTTAACACGACCATTTACAGTCTAAACGTGAAGACAAAGGATGAGGAAATCAGTTATGGTTTGATTTACACTGCCAAACGCCACCTCACTGCAAAGCCATGCATCTTCCAGGGATTAATAGACAGAAGGTTCACACATCACACTCTAGTAATAGCAGCTGTGGGGTTAGAAATCAAAAGGCTTTTGTTTATGAAGCCATTATAAGCTCTATTTGGATTATTTTAGATAAAATTGAGACTAAATTCACAGCCTCTGATGTTCTGGAGGTTGACTCTAGAAAGAGATTTTTTTTTTGTTTGGCTCAGGGATAAATAAAACAGTTGATTTCTTGAATCACTGATTCTGTCCATAGTTCCTGCATCTACTGCTTCCAGAAGAAGCATCCTCTAGAAGACACCAAGCGAGTGTTGAAGCCCTCTGGTCGGTATACAGTGAGCTGCCTGGGATGCAGAAATATGAAGTATAGCAGCACTAATAAACTTGAAGCTGAGAGAGCTCAAGCCAAGCACACAGTCTGAGATCCACTGAAGTTAACCAAAAGCTTCACCAGGCATTGAATGGACCCTCAGCAACTGGGTGTGTTGCTGCAAGACCAGAGCAGGGAAAAGTTGTCTCTTTTCCGTCACTCTGGAGTAAATCTTGCGGAGTGTTAACTCCATTGATGGATCTGAAGGCAGATTATGGCCCCATGACTACAGACGACTAACGCCTGCTTGGTGGTTCTTATCCTTGTAACTTATGGCACGATCTTTGTGGGACTGGTCGGTCATATTGCACAACACAATCCATTTGCTGCCTTAAATCCAGACAGTGAAGCAAGATGGTATTTTAATGCACAGTTCAAAGCAAGAGGTATAGAAGAGGACACCCAGTGTGACCAAGCTTCCTGCATCTCCACAGTTAGTTTCTTCTCAGCAAGGCTGGAGCTTTCTCTGTTTAACTGATAGTTAGGCTTTTTTCCATTCTGAAACATGTCAGGAGTGGAAGCGTTTGCTGTTTAGATAGCATTAATCACAATTATTGGCTCTATACTTAGACTGTTTATGAACACACATAGAAGTAACGCTCTGTGCTTCTTGTTTCAGCCTGACTGTAAGACTCTGCTGGACCAAAGACTAAAACCCAAAGACTAAAACCAAAGAGTATTCTTAAACTTCTAATACTTATTAATCCATTTATATTCTTAAAGCACAAAAGAACTGAATTATCCAACAGCTCTTTCAGTTGGGTAACAGAGAGACAAAGGGGAAGTAATTTGGCTACAGCAACACCAGGAGTCACGAGCAGGTCACTGGGGCTCTCTCCAGTGCCAAATTCAAGTTTGCAGCGAAACCCTCCCAGCCCTGGCGTTCAGCTCAGAGGATGCAGCTGCTGCTCAAGAGCGAGCGGTGCACACCATCATCTGGCCACTGACCCTGCGTTTCTACCCCTTTGTCACCATTTGCATGGGCAGGCTGGAAGACACCATCACAGGTTTCCAGGAAGAGCTGGAAGTTGACTTTTTTTCCCAGCTGTACGGAAAATGCTGATAGTCATGTTGCTGAGAGGTCCAGGATAATGCTGAATAAGGTTTTTTTCTATATATGACTGTAGTGTTAAGTCTACACTGTGGGGAGAATTAAATGTTCTCTAGACCACATGGCAAAACAGTAAAGGAACATTTTATTTTAATTACTATTTTATCCTTCCACTTGGGAAGTGAGCTACCCAGGAGGAGCCTACCTTAGGCCATCTTGGATGTGGAAGCTGGTCCTTGGCGCCTCTCTAAGCCAGCAAAAAATGGAGTCAAGTTTGTTTTAAATGCTGTTTGTTCAGCAGAGCCTGAACCAAGCATGCCCAAATCTGCAGCCTGGAGGCCAAGTACTGCCCCCAACACCAATTCATATGACTGCTCCCAGCTTCCCTCTTCCCCAGAGGTCCCTCAGATGTGGACTGCAGGCTGGACTTTAGGGAGTTTGTTTCCAGATAACAAAAGTGGGTCAGGACTTCTTTCAACCGGCTGACTGAGGTTTGCACAGTGGCCCAACAACACACCTCCAGCCATGTGCTGCTGCGAGGAGACAAAGGCTTTCCCCAGGGAAAAGAGGACTTCGAATGGGACAGGGTGGAGGGGTGTTGGAGAACCAGAATTAGAGCATTCAGTGACCAGAGTGGGGAGACACTGGCTGCTGAAGCTGAGAGCATACAGGATCGGACAAATGTGCCCTGCTCCCTTTCTCCTACAGCCAGCCGCTCCGCTGCAAAAGGAGACAGAAGGAACTGTCAGCCCTGATAACATTCCTCTGAATCCCATGTTTTTCCAGCATACATTGCTTCTGCATTATTATTTTCTCTCTTGAATTGGGTGCTGGACAAAAAAGCTATCCAGACAGCTCTGCCACCTGCGTCA